GGGCAACAGGCACCAGGCCCCGCCAAGTAGTCACCGGGAGTGAGCTGGTACATACCTGAGCGCCCAGCCCCGGACACCAAGAACCACCAACGCACCGACCCCTGAGGGCATCAGTTACCAGCAGGGAGTGTGGTGAGGGGAGATGGGCCTGGGAGTTCCCAGAGAGGTGTTGCTTTTCAAGATCTTTTAACTGGTTTCATTTTGTCAGACAGGTTCTAACAGGTCTGCCGGTAATCATGCTTGAGCACGTTTAGTTAAACTGAACTTAGTCACAGTTAATTCATGACTATAAAGAGGGCAGTTACTTTGCCACACAGAACCAGGTAGGTTTGGATAACTTCTCTCCTTTAATCAATGAAATCAACATTTAGAAACTGCATTTTATTTTTACTTAGGTTATCTTTGTCTAATATTAAAAATTGTGATCAAAAGTGTGATAAATATAAAAAACAGTAGGAGATCAGGAAGGGGTCACACACTTCTCACACCAATGTACTTGTTGGATAAATGTAGTTATACACAGAGGTACTAACTTAGCTCAGCTAAATCACACTGTCTGTATGTGGTCAGTGACTGAAGGATTCAGGTTTGTTTTTAATTATGTTTTGAGTCTGCATCGTTGAAGCTCTGAGCCTAACTGTACAGAGGAAATTGAGTTCATTTATGGTGCATGTCATTGTTTGACTTGGCACCAGAAGGTAAACAAGAAAAACTGAAGTGACCCTGTAAGTATTCTCCTGTTGACCATCTTCTACCATCTTTCTCTACATACCAAAACTTCAGCAGTAAGAGGAAAATCGTTCAGGAATTTTAACTATTTAAGGAGACAGGCACTCGCATTTTGGCCATATTGTATTTCTCCTTTGGGGTGTTAAATTTCATTCCGTTTTATTATACAGGAAAAGGAACATATCATGGGCTGCATGGAACTGGCCTGGATCAGTTAAAACTGGTTTACAGCAGTTCTTTTCTGCTGGACATAAGTTTGAAACACATTGCAAAACATAACAAAATAAAAACGACCAACAAAAAAGAAAACTTCTGCAAAGACGGAGACGATGGACACAAAAAGATTTTATATGCCTGTTTGAAATGTGTGAAGGAGCTTGTTGCTCTAATGCAAAACAGATATCTTTGATTATATCTTAACATAGCTATTGCTGTTATTGTCAAAGTAGTCTAAAAGTCTCTTCTCCAAGCTCTTTTGTTTTGAATTTTTTTTCTTTTTTTTTTTTTCCCTCTTAATTTCTGTGTTTTGTGTTCCATTTCTGGAAAGGTCAAGGACACTATAGGCTACGACACCTTGGGCCACTGTTTTTTCCTTGAGGATGGGATTGAGCAGCGCAACACTTTCTACCACAACCTTGGCCTCCTGACCCGACCTGGGACTCTTTTACCCACCGATCGCAATGAGACCCTCTGCCTCAGCATCAAGGACAAAGTCTACAAGGGCTACACTCCCTCGCCCAGTACAGAGTGCAAGTAAGAGAACAGGACGATGATGTACATTTGTGGTTACAGATATAAGGAATCACATCGGCATCAGCATAACGTTTCCACTCTGTCATCAAAAACATGTCTGATTAGTCACAATACTTAGATATCATAGATTTGTACCGGGATAAAACCACTTTTCGTATCTTTTATATGTGTTTGTATGTTAACTGTGGATTTTTTTTTTTTTTTTTTTTTTTTTTTTTTAAATGTGCTTTCATTGGATTGAAACATCTTTGTTTTTATTTATACCAACAGAGTATAAAGGGTATAGTTGTATATAAAGGGTTATTTAAATTTCCATGTTTAAAAATGCAATGCCTGCATTTTAGATTAAAAGTGGAACAAATCATACCCATTAGCCGTGAGAGAGCATGTGTGGTGGTGCAGACGTATTTTGAGAAAGCACAGATGGTCTGTGTGAGAGAGATATTGGCAAGGTGGTTTTATCCAGGCAATAACAACATCCCCTCTCCATGGGATGTTTTCATGTCATAGCAAGACCAAGAAAAGTGCCTTTGTGAGGAAACAGAAAGGTCTGTTTCCAAGAGCGTGATAGCGTGTACGTGTGTCTGTGTCTGTTGGCTGAGCTTTCCCCGTGAAGCGCTTATGTTGGAGAGGTGGATTATTGAGGGAATTTGGGAAATCTCACAGGTTTCTTTGATGTCTGTCTTCTTCTTAATCATATTTTATGATCTGCCGAGGTACTCCTTTTTTTAATATCTCTGTCTACTTATGTGCATGTAATCTTGTGGTTGTTTTTCAGGGCAGTCTCAACATTCTGGATCGCCAACCCCAACAACAACCTCATCAGTAATGCAGCAGCTGGTTCTCAGGTAATAATATCAGAGCTATGAAAGAAAAATAACTTTCTCCATGTGGTTTAAGGAAACATGTCACCAAGAGTAGAACGCAAAGTCCTTATTGATAGATTAACTATTATTAAAAAAACAAAAAAGTAAAGCTACACTGGCTTTGGTGTTCCTGAACATTACATAAAATTAAAGACCTTCATGCTCATAAAAAGTTATCCATCAATAAAAAGGGGATTTAACAGTCCTTAGTGTTTGATAGATGGAGCAATAAAATGGTAAGACCTTTAAACATAAAAGCTAAAAAAAAAAAAAGAAGAAAAGAAATCACTCAATTTTATTTTGGTACAAACTGCTCGGAGGTCCACAGGGGTTATGCTGTGTACTACTTAACAGTGGGGGTATTTCTTTGTTTTGGACTGCAAACTTAAAGAAGCCAGTAAGTTTCTGTGAACTTTAATCTTTCTGCAGGACGTCATCAACATGAGAATAGTGTGACACTCACCCAGATGCACTTGTTGTTGTTGTTTTTTATGTTCCACCAGCTGATTGTATATCAGTGCTGATAATGAAATTCCTACTCCTCTAGTTTGTCATGGTTATCTTCTGTTTCTCTATTCTACTTCCTCTTCCAGGATGCTGGGATTTGGTTTGTGTTCCACAGCTCTTCCACAGGTGACTCCCATGGCCTGGTGCCAGAGACCAAGGCCGAGCTCACACCTTTGGGGATTTTTTACAACAATCGTGTACACTCCAACTTTAAGGTATTGTTAGTCTTGCTTTTTGTGCACTATGCAGTCCAAGTTCTTACTATGCTGTCTCTTTGTGTCTCTGTGCTTTAGCAAGGAGGAGAGAAATACAGTGTTTGTATTCCAAATGACATTGCACATAAATCCCTGTTTGATTACTTAGTTATTGGTAGAAAATGGGAATAGACACACACACACACACACACACACACACCCACTAGTAGGGTCCACAATGGTGCTCTGTTTTGTAATGACAGAAGTCGGGCAGGTGAACTGTAAGCTCTTTGTCCAGCTTCTCTCACAGAGGAAGGAGCCATGAAGGTTAAGACTATGCCTCGGTTATACCACAAGACCAACTCACAGGCCAGGTTTCCATGTACAAAAAAACACAGACAGGCTTAATTTATTTTAACAGGGAAAACTAATCCGTATGTTTAGACACATGTACAGCCTTCGTTCTGTAACTTTACATTTAAGCACGTATCAGGTTCCACGCCAGAAGATACACTAGTGGAGTTGTTTATGTCCCTATAGCAGAAAACCTCCTTATACTTGTGGTTTTACTGCATTTTATTGTAATCATGCCTTCCAGGCAGGGCTGTTCATCGACAAAGGAGTGAAGACCACCAATGCCACTGCTGCTGACCCCCGGGAATACCTATGTTTGGACAACAGTGCCAGGTGTGTATGTGTCTAGACACAGACTGCAAAGAGATTTGTTGATACTTTAAGTTTTCCATAACTGTTAGTATTACAGCTAAGGGCATGTTGACCACTCGTGGTTACAAATGCACAGACCTGGAAGTGATTTTTGGCACATATCCAGTATCCAAGCAGACTATTTAAGAGTCTGCGGTTGGTTATCAAATGCGTCATAGTGTATAGTTATTCTGTGTAAATATTTCAGTATTTGTGGTTTACTTATCTACTGTTTGTTTAGTGCTACTGTCACAAACTGCATGAATTAAGGTATTTGTAGCTCCCTGTTGAATATCAGCTGGGATGTAGCCATTGACGGGGATAGACAGATGGCTTTATAGTGCGCTACTGCATTTTAGTGGAAGGTCTGTCAGATTTGTGTTGACAGAGAAAACAAGACTTTACAGATAGTTTCCACTCTGCAGCTGCCTACCTGAATACAGCCCTCAGCTAGGTGGAAAAAATGTGTCTAGTGAGACTGCGCACTGTGGTCTGTGTGCACAAGTATGAAGGGAGGGGGGATTTTAAATGTTGTTCAAGTGCAGAAGGCACGGGGAGATTTGTGTTGTGTATTTGCAAGATACGGTAACAGTTGTTAGAAAACGTCTCCAGCGATTTATGTTGTTCTCAGAGGTTTCATCTAGCTCCACAGTTGGGTAAAAAAAATCCCTTGAGCAATGATTTGGCTTTTGACAAGGTTTTAAAAATAACACCCTGAAATGCCACCACAAGGATGCAAAAGGAACATGAGCAGCCCCCCCC